CCACCTCCCTCATGTGACCCCGTCCACCTCCCCGTGTGACCCTCGTCAGAAGCTGCAGAACGTGAGCCAAGTCCTGAAGCGTGTCTTCCTCATCTTCCCCCACTTCTGCCTGGGCCGAGGCCTCATCGACATGGTGCGGAACCAGGCCATGGCTGATGCCTTCCAGCGCCTGGGTGAGGACCTCCTGCCAGCAGGAGCCTTGTCTCTAAACCACGACTCTCCTTGGTGTTATCACCTGAGAGTCAGCTGTACAGGATGGTACACATGGCAGCCTGCAGGAAGAGACTCAATTTTCAGTAGCTTCAAGTTTGGGCTAAGTTAGAAGTGTAACAGCAACCATGAAAGCTAACTAGAGCTTGGGTCACATTACAAGAGGCCTTAGGCCCTGAATGAGGGAGGTGATGAGGTCACTGCTTTCTATGGTCATTAGACCTCACATTGGGAGCCCCATCCGATTCTTGGCCCCTTCCATTAAGAACATAGGGTGGCCTTTTGAGGAAGAGGCTGGAAGCTGCCTCCCGCGGCTGCCACAGCCCCCTGTACCTTCCTATACCTGCAGGAGAGGGAGAGTTCCAGTCACCACTGCGCTGGGAGGTGGTTGGCAAGAACCTCTCGGCCATGGCCCTGCAGGGCCCCCTTTTCCTCTTCCTCACCGTCCTGCTACAGCACCGCCACTACTTCATTCCGCAGTAAGTGGGGCACTGAGGGGAATGGGGCAGGGTTCTGGGGACCAGCTCAGGCCAGCTCTCATCTGTCCCCAGGCCCCAGCTGCAGCCGCTGCCGCCTCTGGGAGAGGAGGACGAGGACGTGGCCCGGGAGCGGGAGCGAGTGGTCCAAGGGGCTACCCAGGGTGATGTGCTCGTGCTACAGGACCTGACGAAGGTGAGTGGGGAAGGTGGCGACTGGAGAGGGCTCCTGTCGGCTCCCTTAGTCATTCTCAGGGACCTGAACCCCGTCTCAGGTGTACCGTGGCCAGAGATCGCCGGCTGTGGACCGTCTGTGCGTGGGCATCCCTCCTGGTGAGGTGAGTCCAGGATAAGGTGGGCGCTCAGGCCGTGAACAGCTGCCTACCACTCACCCTCGCCCACCTTGCAGCCTATGCTGTGCGCCTGCGACTCCGTCCTGAGCTCCCACTCCGTGCTGACATCAGCCCCACTGCATGCTATCAGCCCCACTGCGTGCTGACACCTGTCAGGCCCACTGTGTGCTCTGCTATCCATCAACCCCACTACATGCCATTAGCCCCACTGTGTGCTGACATCTGTCAGCCCTGCTGCATGTGGCAGGGTATCACTGGCTTCTCCCCAAGGACTAGGCAATGACGTGGGCCCTTCACATGCTCATCCATGGGCAGAAGCAAGGCTGCCCACTCAGCCCTACACACTTCTAGTGACCCTGTTGGTCCCTGAGCCCGTAAGTCCTGTGGAGAGGAAAAGACCATCCTCCTCCGCACAGGTGCTGCCGGATCTGAACTGCTGACTTTTTGGGTAACACACTATACACATGCCAGCAAGCCTTAGCCAAGCCCCTCACAGAGCTCTGCGCTCACTGGTAGCTGATCCCTGAGGAGGTGCACTGCTAACCCGAAAGCTGTGCTTCTGTGGTTCAAATTCACCAGCGGCCCCGAGAGAGGGACCGCCATCTCCTCCCGTGGGATTCGCAGCCTCAGGAAAACCACTGGGGGGTCGGTTAGGAGTCAGTTCTGACTCAACAACAGTGAGAGAGCGGTCTTCACAGCAAGATGGGACGGTGCGCGGGAGGACAGGATGGTGCACGGGAGGACAGGACGGTGCACGGGAGGACAGGATGGTGCACGGGAGGACAGGACGGTGCATGGGAGGACAGGATGGTGCACGGGAGGACAGGACGGTGTGCAGGAGGACAGGACGGTGCGTGGGAGGACAGGACGGTGCCTGAGGACAGGACGGTGTGGTATTCCCTGCTTTCAGCCAAGATCCATCTAACATCAGCTACAATATCCCTAGTACCACGACCCCTTCTAAACCCAGCCTGGACTTCTGGCAGTTCTCTGCTGATGTGCTGTTCAAGTCGTTTTTGGATAATCTTCAGTAAAATCTTGCTTGCATGTGAAATCAGTGAGATTTTCTGTAGATTCCACATTCTGTTGGGTCACCTTTCTTTGGGATAGGAACAAATATCGATCTCTTCCAGTCAGTTGGCCAAGTGGTAGTTCTCCAGAGTTCTTGGCACAACTTGGTGAGCACATCCAGGGCAGCATCTGTTAACTGAAATATGTCAATTGGTATACCATCTATTCCTGGAGCCTTATTTTTTACCATTTCCTTCAAAGCAGCCTGAACTTCTTCTTTCATCACCATAGGCTCTTGTTCATATGTTGTTTCATGAAATTCTTCTGTGTCTTCCAATTCCTTTTGATACAGTGACTCAGTATATTCTTTCCATCTTCTTTTAATTCTTAAGCATTTGGTCTACTATTATTAAATTTTATATTCGGCTTCCCTCATTTCCCCCTCTTTTGTTTAAATCATAATTTTGAGATCATCAAGATGAGCATAATTTCTTTTCTTCAGGATTCATTCTTCCTTGTCTCTTAATCCTTTATACATAATCAAACAAATATAACCAAGAAAGCAAAATAAGTTCACAAAATACTTCCAATAAAGCAGCATTCCCTGAGGGTCAGCTTCTATTGTCATGTTGCCATAGTCCCCATCAAAACCAGTTCTGGTTAATCTCCTTTGTCCATGCGTCCTTTGCCATTCCCTGTCACTCCTCCCTGAGAGAGATTTCACCCTGATTCATTATGAGAGAGGGTGCCACATTCTCTTAGCTACTTCCTGCTGGAAAAGGACGCTGTAGGTCTCAGGGTAAAGATCTTCTCTCACTACTCTAAAGGCAATAGAAAACATATAGACTATGTGGAGATTGATTTTGGAATTTGGATGCACTGTTATCAGTTGTACTTAGGGGTACAGGCTCATATCCTTGGAGGTGCATCATGTTAACATCAAACTGTTGCAGCCTAGAAGACATAAATTTCACTAACAAGTTAAATAAGGAACTGCTTATGAGGTTTTCCGTCAATTCCAACAACTAAGGAATAGCAGAAAGAGATTGGACCCTAAGAAGGCTTCTAAGGCCGGATGTAGGCTCATGTGTCCAGGAGAAAACAGATATACTTACCAGCAATGTTAATGCTCACCATGGCTCTTCTGGGAGGATCTGAATCATTGGAGCGTCCTCCTTTGTTTCCAGCTGGAAGCTGGGGTCTGTCAGTCCTGACAGCCAAGAGGACCTTATGTGGGCCACCCTTGGCCAAGTGTCCTTCAGATCCACACTTAAAGCAAGTGAGTGGGAGCTTCCTCTCTGCTCCCTTGCCTATCTGTGGCTCTCGTCTGTGACACTGTCTACTGAAGTGGCTTTCCACAGTGGAAGCAATTCTGACCTCCTTTATTACCTTTGGGTGGCACTGTTTATGAGTAAGACTTC